AATTGTCCTCAATATTTTGAATACAGCTGGCTATACTTGGTGCTATTTTAATGGCTTATATTTACAAATTCAGTGCATTTCCCCATAAAGCCTAAGGAAAAACAAAGGAATACACTAGGAAGGTAAGTTTCATATATAAGAAAAGCCCAACTGTGGCCACTTAAGCAATACTCATTTTTTTCTCATATTACAGGCCTATGTGATGAGAGAATCAGAGGCAGATTGATATTAACCAATTCTACAGGGAAGAACAAAACTTACCCTTAGAAAGGACACTGACTATAACAGATATGTTCTAGTAATCATGCTCAGTTTTGATCTCAAATTAATACAGAGGTGAGCATACACAATAAAAGCAAATATTTTATGTCTATTTTAATGTAGTATCAAACTAAAAATCTGCTACATAATTGATATGCTAGAAAAGAATAGGTTGCACCTGAATTTAGGCTTGGAAATTATAATGTAGAAAAAAAGGTGTGGAGAAATAATGGAATATACAGTAATGGATTAGAAATTTAGATATTCCAGACAGGAAAAACTAAGGGAAAAGGTCAATGTTTACATCTAAATAGAATGAGATGTCATTGCCTAAATTAATAATGCAAACTTGAAAAATGGCCCTAAGTTCAACAGACCAATTATACAATTCTTTTGCAAACAAATCTACATTCATATTTTTCATGAATAATTATAGCTACTAGTTTTTCTGCATTGAACATTAGTTCAATCTATAAATTGAGAAATATATTTTCAAATGAAATTTAGATACTATTTCAATTTCTTATGATATAAATTTACCTGAAAATAAATTATAATAATGAGTTAGGAATTCTCTACAGAAAGTTTTTCTCTACTCATACTATGCAAATGGAAGCATTTATGTTAAATATACAAAATAAATGTTTTAAAGCATGAAATAGTACAGAAAAATAACAGTAAGACAGACACGACCAGAGCTTTAGAGGAAGATGCAATCATCTTGCTGAGACTATCACACTCAACTTTTCTCTGAGGAAAGGTGTATGACCTGTGTTTGTGTCAGGTGCGTGTGGGAACTTGCTCACTTTGCCTCCAAAAGCAGAACAAACTTTTTCAATTGCTATCTTCCTCATTTTAAAATCTTATTCTCATTAGTCAGAAAACAACGTATATGTTCTAATTCCCACACTTTATTCACAGTGCCCAACTTAAGAACAATTCTTACATTGGAAACTTCTTTGCCAAGGCTAACTTGTGTTTTGTTCAGTAGGAACAGCAAAACTAACCACAAATACCCAGAAGAATAAAACTCATAGGTGAAGAGAAAAGATACACATTATTTATTTTCAGCAGTAATAAAATTATTCAGAGGTGGAAATAAAGATAAAAATTACGCCTTTCTCAAGGACATTAAGTATTTCAGAAAGAGAGTTGGTGGATGGAAGTGTTAGAAGCACTAAATCACAGGACAGTGGCCACTGCTACACAGGTATACCGAACACTGGCTCCTCTACTGCCGTGCGGACAGGGCTGGCTGGCTCTCAGCAACACCACACAGGAGGGTTGCTATTTAAGGAGACAGCTAGGGTGGGGACATGTTCTATAACCTTAGCCTAAGCAAGAAACACAACCAACTGTCAAGACATGAAAAGATGGAAAACACACAGTGCACCCGAATCACAAGTACATCAAAGCAATGTAGGATCACAGAAAAAGTCAAATCACACCTCTGTACTATTAAAAAAAAAAAACCCTAACCAGAAATTCTGGAAATATGTTATAAAAATCATGGGTCTGAAACAAGACTTAGAAGCAAATATTTCCAAGTAAAAAGCTGAAAACCATGTACATGTATAAAAACGTAATCCACTGAGTATTATGACTCAGAGTCACTTGAACTGTGAAGGTCACAATTAAATGACAAGAGAGTGGTTTTCAAACTAGCCACTGTGACAAAGGAAAGTACTTAAACCATTATTCAAAATTGATTTTTGATTTAATAAATTGTAGGTACTCCAAATATTGTTAAAAGATCCCATTTTGACATATGTTTATTATAAGAAATCTACCACAGATCTGCACGGCACTGCCACTCGGCAGTGACTCACTGAATGTGTTACACGCAGCTGAAAGCTGAAATAAAAAACTGAAACCATGCTAATGTTGGTACTTTAAGAGATGAAACTAGCACTCAAGTTTACCACAAGCCAGCTCTGCCCAGCGTACCTGCCCAGCACCACAGAACCCTGAGAGGCTGGTCCTACAAGTAACCCAAATTTTACAAATCAAGTTGTGATTCGTCAAGCAATGAAAGAACTTCATGAAGGCCACAGGGTCCTTTGTGCGGTGTGTGCGCAGACACACCTCCCTATGCCACGCGCGCAGCCCACAGGAAAACAGGAACTGGAGTCAAGGCTAATTCAGCAACAGCAATCACTGCTTGTGACTTCACTGCTCGTTAAAACAGTGTTACTATGTTGTCTGTTATCAGTACACTGAGTACAACAGACTGTGACTGTGAAATACATTTGAAACTGGTACATACTATTTGACCTACTTTATATGTGGAATTCTGCATGTAACCTTATTTGATACAATAATCCTGCTTTGTAAAAAGCAGCTGTTTGGCGGGACGGTTTGGGGTCCATGCTGTAAAATGTACCTACTGGAGCGGCAGAGACCAAGAGGATCACAACGCCAGTGTAGCCCCAGCTAAATAATACACAGAACCCACTAGGGGCTGGTGATACACACTTGTAATACCAGATACTCAGGAGGCTCAGGCCCAAGGATCACAGTTCAAAGCCAGGTGAGATGAGAAAGTACATTCGACTTTTATTTCCAATCAACCACACAAAAAAAGTTGAAGTGGAACTGTATCTCAAGTGCTAGAGCACTAGCCTGGAGCAAGTAAGAGCTCCAGGACCAGCAAAAAAAAAAAAGGGGGGGGGGGATACAAAGCTCTGAGTTCCAACTGCAATAGAGATATAGCTAGCCAGCTAAAAAGAGACAGACAGACAGACAGATCGAAAATATTCATTCATAGGGTATAGACTAAAGTGCATAAGTGTTTCTAATTTTCTAATTGCCTTTCTGTTTCAGAGGGGAAGGCAATTATGGTTTTCTCTGTAATAAGGGAAAGAACACTTGATAATGTTTAATTTTTGCAGAATCCTTATTATCAGCATTTTAAAATTTCTATGTCTGCTTTCTAATTGGTCCATCATTTTCCAAAATTTCCAAGAAATATCAATGTGAACAGAACTCATAAAATGGTGAATGAGTAACTCATTAAAGAATGAAATACGTCTATACTATCTCTGTACTGGTCAGTGACCTTTCACATAAGACTTAGTGCAATCGTGTGGCTGGTAGCAGTGGTTATGGCAGTCTGTTTGTTGAGGGCACTGGAGCACAAGAGCACAGAGTCTGATTCCTAGAGGGGCTCCAAGTATCATGGACACATGCTTCGATTCAGTAGACCTGGATGCCGTGTCCCACTGCAGTGTGAAGCCACAGTGTGGTGTTCAGCGGAGGCGGAGGGGGCACCTGACAGAGGTGTCTCAGGGGTGGACAGGCTGCACGGGGCCCCAGCCTCCAGAAGGGGCGCCAGCTCACCAACACAGGTGGGCACGGGAAGCCTGCACAGAGCTCCGTCTCCCCCTCCCCCCACCACTGGTCTACACATCCTAGGGGACTGCCGGAGAGGGGACTGAGCACCGTGACCCCGGGGTGCAGTCTGCGCTGAGGATCCACATGGCCCATCCTCTCTAATTTCAAAGCACAGGCGCTCCCTGCGGGGGGACCACAGCTGGCACAAAGGTGTCTCCATGTTCTCCACTCACTGAAGTCCATTTACAAGTACTTGGGAAAAACAAGTCACTTCTTAGGCACTAACGCCTTTAAAGCACAAAGTACTCCGTATTCTCTGTCTCCATGAGGACTTCGCTCCTGGTGAAGAAGATACTGTACAATGCTGGGTAACAAACTGACTTTTGAGCAATGATACAAAACACTGGAAATCATGTAAAAAAAAGAAGAGGACAATATATGAACATGACTAAAACAAAGCCAGACACAGTGACTCACATATATAACCCAGATACACAGGAGGTAGAGATGGGAGAACTGAAGGTCAAGACCAGTCTGGACAAAAAGGTAGTGAGACTCCATTTGAACAAGTAACACAGGAGTGGTGGCTCCTTCCTATAGTCCCAGATACCCGGCAGGCACAGGCAGGGAGATCACTGTCGAAGGCCCGTCCTGGGTAAAAACTGCGAGACTCTAAAAAAATAACTAAAGCAGATGGGGAGATGGTTGGAAACATGCCTGTTTACCAAAACAAGACCGTGATTTCAAACGCAGTACCGCCAAGATGAAACGAGAAAATGCAATGAATTCTGTATTGAAACAGCTTTAAAACTGTACATACTAGGATGGTAGACACACATTGTCGTGAATTTGTTCAAAGCCAGGAAATCTCCAAGTCCTGTGGACTGTGGATGTTAATGGTCTTTTCTGGTACTCAAATATAAGAAAGGGTCCACTCTGGTGTGAGCATTGGTAACTAAGGGACTTACATATACACAGGGAAGGGTATCTAGAAACAACTATTCATTTTACTGAAAAATATAAAATTGCTCTAAAATGTAAATATTTTAAGAAAGTTACTAAGATTAGGTACTAAACTTAAACTTTCAAATATGTGTGTGTATGTGTGTGTGTGTGTGTGTGTGTGTGTGTGTGTATGTATATAAAACAGAATTTACCATCTTAACCATAGTTTTGGTGAGACTGAAGTTTGAACTCAGGGCCTCATGCTTCCACTTGATCCCCTCCTCTGGCCCCATCTACTACTTTTCTACCCAGGGTAGCCTTGAACTGCATCCTCTGGATCTTTGACAGCAGAGTAGCTTGGATTTCAGGCATGAAGCACCAGAACCAGCAGGAAACCACATTTGCTCATGAGGAACACCGTCAGCGTACTGGTGGCCTGAGGGGGACATCGGGCTCCTTACCTGTAGTCACACCAGGGGCACCTGTATGGCTTCTCTCCAGTGTGCACTCGCTTATGCCGAGTCAAGTGGGACTGGGTGGTGGAGGCGAAGTTACACTCATCACATTTGAAAGGCTTTTCTCCTGGAAAACAACAAGAAATGTATGTCAATAATGACTGGGTGTGGGGACAAAGCCAGGTGTTGGCAGCCTGTGAAGGAACCGATTTCCAGGCAGGCAAAAGAGGCTCACACTTGTAATCCTAGCTACTCAGGAAGTCGAGATCTGAGGATCTTAGTCCATGAGACTCTTATCTCCAATTAGTCACAGAAAAAGACAGAAGTGGCCCTGTGACTCAAAAAAAGTAGTACAGGGACAGTGCCCAGGCCCAGAGTTCAAGCTCCAGGACCTGCAAAAAAAAAAAAAAAAAAAGGAAGGAGAAGGGAGAAAGGGGAAGGGTGGAATGGGAAGAGGAAGAGGAAGAGGAAGAAGATAGGCAAGGGGCAGGGGACAGGGAAGGGGAAGGGAGGGGACAAGGTAAGGGAGGGAAGAGGAAGGGGAAGGGGCAGAGGAGGGGTAGGGGAAGGGATTTCTTAAGTGTGCAGAGTATCATTCCATGGGCCACACACACATTTGGGATACTTGAGTGTTTATTCTCAAAGACAGAAATTTAGAATAAATTTTCATTTTTTCTGTATTAGAATATAAATAAGGTATACAACAAACAGGTGAGGCATGTCTTGTTATAAACAGGATTCTAAATTGTAGGTATGATCTGCAGTGTATCTGAAATGATGCAACAAATTATCAAAAGCCATTAGAAAAAAAAGTAAAGTACCCTTTAAATCCTGGCAAAACATACCATAGAGGTGCACTTTGAATATAGAGTGCAAACTTTACTGATTTCCTAACATTAAATACAAAGAAAAAGGGAAAGGATTTGTGTCTCCAGATATAGAGTGGTAGCCTAGCAAGTGGGAGACTCAGCACTGAAACCTCAATATGTCAACAACAACAACAGCAACAAGAGGCAAAAAAGATGAAAGACTCAAATCCATAAAGTAGTAGTCCAACCCTCAAAAGCACACCACCCCTATGCAGACACAGCCCCCCGCCAAGGACCAGGACAGTAGAGCAGCAGTGCAGATCCTAATAAAGCAAAGCCTAGCTCCTCAAATTTCTCCTGTTCCTCTCCACAAGTACCCTCCCAGTGGCACAGGCATGGGTGCGCGTATGCGCGCGTGCGCGCACACGCACACGCACACACACACGTGCGCACACACACACACACACACACACTTGCCAGCTGGTTTTCTTCTTTAGCAATTTATGGGGCAGTTTTCTTCTTGTTAACAGCATACATTGCATAAAGGTGTTTTTTTCATTATGCTATCTACAAGGTGTATATACTTTGATCATATTCACTATCCATCTCTACGTCTCACTGTGAGACACCCTTTTGTAACAGGTGCTGGGGCATGTCACCATGCTGTTTTCATATTTTTAGTTAAGAATGCACTGCTATGGCATTTTCCCATCAGAACCCCCTTTCCTCCACTTCCCACCTGACTGTACTCCTAAACTTGTTCCCCTAAAAAACTCCCCTTTCACAGTTATGTCAGATATTTAGGGTGGAGGCAGGGCACATATGAATGCAAACATGCAATATTTGTCTTTCTTAGCTTGGCATAATTCACTTCACCTAACAATCTCCAGTTCCCTCCACTGATCTACAAATAACACAACTTTTGTTGGCGGCAGAATAATACTCCATTGTATGTATGCAGTACAATCTGTCCAATCATCCGTTTTCTATGCACTTGGGCTGGTTCCATATCTTGACGATCTTAAACGTGCGGCTACATGCATGAGTGTACAGGTATCTCATATATTTAAAAATCATAAGAATTCCCAGTTTCTAGTTCTACCTCGTTTGGCTGGCAAGAATGTGAAATACGGCAATTTATTTTCAACTCAACTATTGAAGTATGTTTAAATATGGCTACAATAGCTTAGGGGTGTGAAGGCACACTCAGAATGGCAAGTCTTATCAAATCTAAATATAGATGATTTATTCTAAATGCAAATTTGTCCTAGGAAATAGGGTATATGTCACAAGTATAAAACACAACAAATTTCAAAATCTTTGTACAAAAATAATCTGTTACCCTTCTCTTTTTTTGGTAAATGTAGCTACCAGAAAACAGAATGACACCTTAATCACACTGCATTTCTGTACGTCGGGGAAGGCCTCAGGAAGAGGAAGGCCTCAGTCCTCTACTACCCCCAAGCAAGTAACGTGGACTAGAATTCCTCCAAATAGTTCCATTTCCTAATAAGTTTAACATGCTGGGTGGATGAGTTTTCCTGTCGTCTCTAACTGTACTGATCACTTCTTTTGGGGGGTTTTAAGACTGTGTAACACATATATTGATTTTGTTTAAAAAATGATGAATCAAGTACCTTAGCATACTGGGGTTCTACAAAAACCTGGCTAACAAGCGTCTCTCTGTCCTGTTTATAAATCTGCCCCAAGTGCTGTCGGCCTACGTCAGTGGCCCTCCCCAGCGGGGTGGGAGCACACAACCAAGGGCAGGCACCTTCTGTGAGGGCATTTTATCTCATCACAGCACAGGGGAGGGGATGGATGAAGCCAGATGGGCGTCACTTCCAACCCCGGTCTTGCTGTATCTCCTTGTTACTGTCAGACCTCTCCAGGAAGACCACAAGGATAATACTGCCAAAGGGCGGGTGACTGCGAGGATTCAGAGGACACACAGCACACTTAGCGGAGTGCTCAGTGCCTGTCTGCTCTTATCATGAGTATGACAACACGTCCTAAACGTGGATAACTAGCATACACTCAGTTGAGAGCCAAGAAAAAGACCAACACTCAGCAGACAGCAAAACACTACTGGTTTTGCATAGTAAGTGAACATGACCTAAGATAGCATTTATTTATTTTGTATTGTGAAAATACCATACAGAGGGGTTACAATTACAAGGGCAAGGTAATGAGCACATTTGTTATCAAGCATTGTTGCCTCCTCCTTTGTTAAGATAGCATTTAGTAGGAAATTTTCTACTTGAATTTTCTAGTAGGAAAAATTTCTACTTGCCTTATTCTTTAAAAAAGAAAAAAACACATACAAAACAGAGAAAATAACACTTGGCTCAAAGATTTTTGTTTCTTTCAGACACCTGTCCTTAAGATAAATCCCACCTTCCCAGCTTCAATCAAGTTATCACCTCAGTCTTAGTAACTCTTTGCCCTCCATTTTAAGACCTCTAGGCAAGAAACTTAAATTGCTGTGGACAACTCAGGTGTATTAGATGACACACAGAAACCAAGATGACCATGAAAGTGGGATTATCTCTGAGGAAAAATATATGATGTTCCCACTGCAGAAGCCTAGAGGAAAATAATTCGACCAAAGGAAATTCTATCTCATAGAAATAAACAACCACATATTAAAAAATACATGAAAATGTTACACTCATTTTAAGAGTGATCTTTGCTCACAAAGTTCAATGTACAGTAATTTAAGTACATTCCAATGCCAAAGTAAAACATGCAGAAGAAAAAGAACATGTATTAGTTCAGCAATTTGGCATATCTGTCTAGACCAAACATAACAGGCCATATAAAACATTTAAAGAGCTTCTAGGAGTTAATTAAAACTTTTCTATATTTATAGTACACAATCTAGGTTTTGTTGTTGATGTAACTAACACTGCAACACAGACAATGAATAAAAACAACCAATCTCAAAGGATTCCTGTGCCCAAAGCTGGTAGTTCCTTCCCAAGTGCCGCACACCTGCTTTCTGTTACCATTCCTATCAGTTAATTTCCCAGAAATTTACATAGCGGAACCATATAGTACTTACTCTATTCAGCCTATCCTCTTTCTTGCAGCATAGTTATTTGTGACTCGTGTACATGGGTAAGGGTGTAAATTACTTCATTTGCTTTCCTTGCTGAACAGTATTTATTACCAGACTGTACCAAAGTTTGCTTATCCATTTATTCATTAAGGACATTGGAGTTGTTTTCATTTTTGGCCAGCACAATAAATAATTTTGCTATAAATCATTGTCTGTAAGCCAAATGTTTGCCCATTTTGCATTTGTACCAGCTGTGAATATTCCAGTTGCTGTACATTTTCGCAAAAATTTGCTTCAAATCTGAATTTCTAAATGCTAAGGATCTCTTTATATACTTACTGGCCATACTTCTTTATTCTTTGTAAAGTATCTGCTCAAATATTTCAAACCTGTTTCACTTAGTTGTTTCCTCAGAATTCTGTTTTGAGTGATATATAAAATATTCTAGATACAAATCCTTCCTAAGATTTGTGATTTGCACATAGTTTTGCCTAGTCAATGATTTGTGTTTTCATTTTCTTTTTGGCAATTCTTGAAGGGCATTAAGTATTACTTTAAAAAGTGTTCAGTTTATTAATATTTCAAGTACTTTTGCTTTTCTGTGCTGTTGATATCATAACCAAGAAGTCTTTGGATATGATATATACTCAAGATCACAAAAATTTTCTCATTTGCTTTCTTCTACAATTTACATAGCTTCAAATTTGACAATTAGATTATGATCGCTGAGTCAATTTTATACAGAGCATGAAGTATGGGTCAAAGTTATTTTTAACTGCATATGAATATCCAATTGTTCCAGTATTACATGTTGCAAAGGCTAACGTGTATTGATCCACAGGGGAAAATCCATGTGCAGGGGTGCTGGGGGCTCATGCCTGTAACCCTATCTACTTACGAGGCTGAGGCTTGGAGGATGGGCATTTCTAGCAAACCTGAGAAGAAAAATCCATAAAGCATCACCTCTACTTAAGTAGAAAAATTCAAGACTAGAGGCATAGCTCAAGTGATTAAGCACCAGCTGTGAGCAAGAAAGCCAAGCAAGAATACAAGGCCCTGAGTTCAAGCACTCGTACCAGCATGCATGCACAAAAAAACCAATTGGCCAAGTATACATACTTCTGCGTCAATAAGTTACTTCGTCCAATTGATGGACCTGTCTGCCCTGACTACAACACCTGGATGTGAGTACGGCTGCTTGGCAGAAGTCCTGAGGTCCTGTAGCACAGGTCTTACAAACATGAGCATAATCGACATTTCCAACCCCTTGTGACTATCAGACCTTTACATTTTCCCCTGAACGTTTAAATCAACCTGACATGTTTATTTAAAAAGAAAGGTTTGCAGGGATAAATGTGGAAAGACATGAAATCTTATCTGTTCAATTCTACTAATCCATGCACAGGGCAGTGGTTTCAACAGCATTTTGAGGTTTCTACTCAGAGAATTATGTGTTCTTTCCTATATTTATCTCTGAATAAACCTTGTTTAAAACCTGGTTTGAAAATAATTGAAAAATATATGCAGAAGTCTATTTCAGGATTCCATTCTACTACTCTGGTCCATCTGTCCATCTTAACAGCAAGAAAATACTGACAGGATTATGATAGCCATACAATAGAAGAGAGTTCAAGTTATTAATGTAAATCTTTCACTTTGAACATAATGCAATAATAAATAAATTGATATTTAGTTCATTATTCAAATTCACAATATTGCCTTAACTTCTGTAAAAAGACTGAGCATGTAACTCATTCCTACTCTGCTTTGACTTAGGAAGACAACCTCAATACCCATTTTGATTGATTCAGCAGGTATCTTGAGAAAGTAAAGGTGGGTATCAATTATAAACTCCATTGCCTAAATCAGTGGTTTAAATTATAAAATTTAAGATCTTCAAACTTATTAATCTTGGTTTGGAAATTTAACATAAGCTCTCTTAAAATGTGGTCAGTGTAGGTTGCTTCATTTAAATCTTCAGAATATTTTTAGCAGTAATTTAGTCTTAAAAACAACACATTGAAAGAGCAAGGTCTTTTACATTCCTTATAAATGTAATAATTGAAAGTTCATATCAAGCTAATATTATGTTGTATAAATTACAGATTATCACTGTCCTTTTAGTTTAATCATACTACAGACTAAATTGTATAATTTTGAATCATATACAAAAATGAAAGGGGAAAATATGATATGTTGAAAATGTATGCTATGAAATACTATGGTAAAGAAAGCTTATCATATATCTGAGCTCTTGATAAGAACTCCAGGGCAATTTTTGGAAACTACAGTTTATTCAAATCTGCATACAGTAGTCAGTTTGCAACTCATCTACTGTTCCATGCAACATGTTCAGTGCTATTACTCTAATATTTAATTTGGTACTTTAAAAATCACTCATGGGTAATTTCTTCAGGAAAACACAATGCAGAAATACAGACAGAATTCTTGCTAGTTAAGTAAAAACAACCCAACTTCTGCACTGTGAAGACTGAATGAAAATTCAAAAACTGAAGGAATTGCCGTTTTCTAACTGGAAGTTAGAAAGTGCTTTGCGAAGAGGTATAAAACCTGTGATGAAGTTTTTAATGGACACCTAAAATAGATGACTGTGTCTCAATTTCTTGTCATTTTAAAGCCAAAAGGATAAATAAACTTGAGTTGAAATGGTACCAACTCCGTCAGCATTACCTATCCACAAGTCAAAGGGGGATACCTGGACATAAGCTATTCAAAAGAGAACAATGTCAGGTGCAGAGGTGTGTTCCTGTAGTCACAGCTACGTTAGAAGCTGATGTGGGAAGATCAATAGAACCTATAAGTTCAAGACTAGTCTGGACAATTCTAGTGTGCCTCTAAACCTAAACCAGTAACAAAAATGCCTAAGAAAATATCATGTGCTTTCAAATTTTCTCTTATATAACAATACTTATCATTTTAAACTTCTGTTTTTCATACTTTCCTTTAAAAAAAAAAGTAATGTTGCCCCAAACAGGCATCAAGAAAGACTCTGCACCTTAAGTACTGTGACAGAAAGTAGAGGATGGACAGAGCAGGGACACTGGAATAGCATGTTGCCACAGTGCCCCGTCCTTTTGTGCATCAACCATCTGTCAGACTGGCTGACCACATCTCCTGGAAATCACACTTTGCATTCCTTAGGGTGAGCTGGTGGTTATTAAGCTGGCCAGGACTCTTGAGCAGCACATGAGGATTGGCTCTCATGCCCTTGAATCAAGGGTCTCTGACAGGTGATAAAAGTAAATCTCAGAATGGAAGATGTTTTGTGTCAGCCCCTAGACAGTCTGCATTGCAGGAGGGAATTATTTACGCCATTTGGAACACTTTGGAAACCTATCCCTTTCCAGCTGGATTGCAATTTGCCTGGACACTCTGTGGTAAAAGGTAAACCATGTCAAAGAGGAAGACATGTGAGAAATACAGATTTCAAATGTACCATTCAGGTCCAACCTAGGGGCAAAAAGTTGTGTGTTGCTTAAGCATTTCAAATCCAGTATAAAAGCTAAGTGCCTAGACCGAGTTGTACGGAGCTGTTTTGTTGAAGCCGACAGTCTTAAGAACTGACTTTGGTATTAAAGAATCATGTTTGATTTGTGCCACAGAGGCAGATAAATGCCAAAAAGACAAATACCTCTGTCTGTGAGACATTGTCCTATATGGTATAAAGTTAATAGCAAAGTAATAAGGAGCCTCTGGACCTGACATAAAATATAAAGTTGTGCCGGCTCGATGCAGGCTTCCTGATCGATCCATCACCTGGAACGCCTGTGACCGCAGTGGGATGACTCCACTGCGGGCAAAGAGAGGAGCTGCCACCGCAGAGGTGGCACAGAGGGAGGCTGCTGTCCCCGGAGGCCAAACCAGACAGAACCAGGTGGGCTATAATGACATATAAATCATAACACTTGGAATGCCAATAAGATGAAAACATTACGAGAAAGAGCCCTAATGAGCACTCTGTTTCTGCACATTCTGCCTAGGCCTCACCATGCACTGTGCCTTCCGGTCACCTGTACTGAGCCCCTGAGTCAGGGATTAAAATCATATATGCACGGTGACTTCTTTAAGCTTGCAATGACTCTTAACATTCATAAGTTTATATGTCCAACATCATGCTAGACAATGAAAATATCTATGGAATCGATGGCTTTTAACCCACATAGAAATCTGAACTGAGCATACTTAAGATCATGGAGTAATGATGGCAGTCCTTTTCATTTACCTCCCCAAATGGGTTCTTGGGAACAGAAGCAGCCTGTACCTATTTAACATCGCAATTCATAATCACAATGTTCCATATATAACATGCTGTATGCTAATTTCACACCATGTGGAGTGTGACTGGAAAATCCAACCATTCTCACAGTACACAAAGAAAGGCTTAACATTTAGGTATACATTGTTATGGAATGACTTACCATCTCATCTAGGAAAGATCTGATAATAAAATGAGGTTCTACTAGCAATTACCATGGACAACTGCCCTGACCATCTTGAACACATATTTAGAATTATGTAAATAATTATATGTAACACCTACCTGACTACATATTTGATTAGACATATTTGATTACATATGAAATGAGATTTGATAAGTGCTCATAACTTTTCATTTTTTATATTGTGTCTAATCACAAAAATCTGTTCCATTTTGTGGAATTAGCACATCATTTCAATGTCCACAATTTTTTTTTGGGGGGGGGAGGTCTGGTCATGGGGCCTGAACTCTGGGCCTGGGCGCTGTCCCTCAGCTCTTCAGCTCAAGGCTAGCACTCTACCGCTTGAGTCACAACGCCACTTCTAGCTTTTTTCTTTTTGCTTATGTGGTGCTGAGGAATCAAACCCAGGGCCTCATGCATGCAAGGCAAGCGCTCTACCACTGAGCCACCTTCCCAGCCCAATGTCCACAATTATTATCTAATGTTGCTCCTTTGTTACTAATCATTCTTAAAAGCAAAAATAACCAGCACTGACTTTGGACCAAACCAACCCACAGAATGATTGACAAAGGGATGGCCAGGCATGCCGGTACAGAGAAAGACAGAGGAGAGGATGCTAGAAACACCTGTGGGCAGCTGAGGAGGCAGGTGGGTGGAGCTCTCAGTGGGGACAGAGGAGGACTGATGTGGGCTCGGACTTCATCCCCAGGCAAAGGCTGTCTTACAGACAAAGGGGAAACGCCTCATTTATCTAACCTTTCAGAACCAAAGTGTTTTTTGTTCCCTACTTACCATGAATTTAACTAGGGATACTCGATCCCTGAAACACAAACATTTCCATTTTTAAATAAGTAAAGGGAGGCAGGTTGGTTTTTGTATAAATCCGTGTACTGGGGAAGTGCAGAAATTTCTACTGAATAATGTCAGGTTGTAAATAAACAGAGAAGCGGGTGAGGGGCTGGACTGTCCCTTCTGCGAAGGGCAGGGACGTGGGTTTCGGCATTGAGGCACTGACCTGTGTGCTGTCGGCGGTGCTTGGTGAGGGCATGCCTGGTCCCGCCCGCAAAGCCACAGAGGTCACACAGGAACGACTTCTCGCCTGTTGCAACAATAAACAGATGAGGGACTGTGGAGGTCACAGATCATTAAAACATATCTATCAAGGCTTTCAGGGTTACTAATTCCTCCAATCAAATGTTTCCATGTAAATATGTCAAATGGGAATGAAATTACCACTGCGGTTTATTGACTGTGATAAAATCTGAAAAGCACCACTGAACATAATTACATACTTGTCAGACCCATAAAAATTAGCTTTATTATCAATGGAATGGTTTTGTACAACTTCATTTCTGGTAGATGTCTTCCAGATGGGGCTGCTTTATGCACTTGAACAGTTTTTATGCATATCCCGATTTTTTACAATTCCCATACATCTGGCCTTTCTGAGCTGAGTAAAGATTGCTTGGCATAGTTAATATACAGTATATATGATTCTGTTTAAATAAAATACATTGGATTTTATCACAACCTAGGAATACTGAGTTGGTTTTATCTGATCTATCAGGGTCTTCTTCAATCACTTCCTACTTAATAATGTAAACTAAATTATATTCTTTAAGGATCCCAAGTAACGATGATATTTACTCTGTATCAAGCACAACTCAATGCTGTTATGGCTCTCAAACTTTCATGGCATAAAAAAAAGATGTCCAAGATTGCTAAATAAATGCTACAAAAACTCTTATGATTTATCTTTAATGAGCGTTCCTGATTGGAAAATTCTGCAACAATTACAGGCAGCTTTGGCAGATGCAAGTATTTGCTAAGTGGAAAAATGCTTATTTTTAAAGCATTTTACACAAGCTAACATCTTGCCAGGCAGTTTATAAATGCAATATATCTTTCTACCATAACATATTTAAGCAATAAGTGCTGGCCAGCTAGGCAGTTCATCCCATAAGACTCACAAAGAAGAGCAAAACAGAATAAAAATGCTAACCTTAGAGAGATTCAGTGAAATTATAAAATACTTCTCCAGAAATAAATCATGTATATCTATCTTTAACTACTTTACTAAATTAGGCATCTAAAGCAACAAGTCTTTCCAGTTTTGACCCTACCAGCCTGCTCAGTTTCTGTGTTTTAGTATATCACAACATATATTCAGCCTGCAGCATGCTGGGAAATTATTAACTGTCTTATAAGGTTAGAATACATAATAAATGTATTATAGAAATGTAACTTTAGTAACTCAAAAGGAGTACTCCCTTTACTTAAGAGCATTACTAGATCTGCTAACTTAAATGAAGAGTTTTTACTAAAGAAACCCTTAAAAGTATGTTTAAACATATTCCCCAATGGTATGGTTAAAAATTAATCATTCAAAAGCAAAAGTTGAAATAAAATACTATCCTCACTTTCATATTAGAAAGTTAAGTTTATTCCGTGAAGTATTTCAATACAGAAAGAATAGAGAAGATGAGCTATAAAGAATAAAGTTTAATCATAATCACTTATTTAATAATTGAATCAATCTAAAATAGAAATCGTCTTAACTAACTGTATTATCAATTAAAAACCATTAAAATAGGCTTCTTAAACTCTCAAAAGACAACTTGGTCTTTAATATTAACATACTATTCTGTGTTGAGGCAAAATCGTTCTGTACAACTTATCACCATTGTTTTGAGAATTCTTGTGTGTATAACACAGGCAGAAACATGCTTTGTCGCACACAGGCTGAGTGCAGAAGTGCAGATTTGTCACTGCACACACACAGATGGGCGCTCACGCTGCAGGGGTTGGGCAATGGCAGTGTTGGGGTGGAAGCATCCACCTGCCTGGGATTCTAGGGAGGGATGAGTACTCCCGTTACTTTGAGATTCTAGAAAAGCATTCTTCCTTTCTGCCATTTGGAACTTCTTTGTGACTTACGTTTTCCTTATAAATTAACAACAGTAACAAAACAAAGAAAATCTTCATAGGAGCTATGGTCTATACATATTTATTTATGCTATATATACATATATATTAACAATATTACATTCTAGTCTCATCCTAATAGTTCATTTTCCATGGAATTAGATGCTACGTGCATTAGAGACCTTGATTTTTTTCTTTGATGTATAGAATTGTATTTACTATGTTAGTCTCCAGTGTATTGTATGTCATATTTACTTTGGTGTCTTGATTTGTATTTCAATCCAAATTTAATTTTTTGCCTTTCATTCTTTTTCTTCCTTTTTTTCTTTCTTTCTTTCCTTCTTTCTTTTTTTCTTTTCCTTCTTTTCTTTTTCTTGAAACGATAGGGGGTTAAAATGGGTAAAAAAAAAAAGTATCTTTTGAGAAGCAAAAATTAAGAAAAAAATGACGTGGAGTACTTCATACAATGTAGAGAGGAGGCATTTACCATGGCATATTTTTTATGATAACAGAGATTTAATGGGAGAATTCTTTTGGCAACAATTTGAATTAGTTTCCAGTGTGCCATTTTGCATTCCAATGCAGAGAGACATGGAAACCAATCCTTTATTTTCTATTAGAAAGCAGCCCCTGTCCCCATCTCTCGTTATGGTGCAGACTACAAGACCTAACAACAAAAATCCATATTATTGATCCAGCCAAGTCTCCACAATTATTCTTTAGAAGGAAACGCCGACGATAAATTACATCTGCACTGGCTTTTCATCTGCTGTTCGATGTAAGTGATCTCTCAGGGCAGGCTGGAGACCTTAAATCGTCAACACCCTTGTCAGGGGGGCTAAGGAGGCCTGGGCTTCCCACAGGCTGCCTCGGAAGAACTTTCATCCTAGAATTTCTAACAATAGTATAAGATTCTTGGCAATCAGAAGATCACTTTGGAATGCTGATTCAAATTTATTATTTTCCTGAGACTGAGTTAAAGAAAGTAGCATGGCCCCAGAAAGAAGGAAGCGCCTCCTAGCAATGTAGTTACAGAGTGTGAGAGTGGAACCTGGCAATGCAGGTATCACGGCACTATGCGAGAGTCCTCCAAGCAATCTTTATCAGGAAGGTTTGGGGCCACTGTCCAGAGAACATGACAAAGACGTCATAAACACAGTAATATCACAACTCGGTGTTAATGGAAGTATACTTAAGAAGGCCCAAATGAAGAATCCTCAGTACCAGGCCCAAGGCACATGCAGACCCAACACGGCTCTGTCCATTAGTATAAATACCACATCGTTGGGCTGGGAAGGTGGTTCAGTGGTAGAGCACATGCCTTGCATACCAGAGGCCCTGGGTTCGATTCCTCAGCACCATATAAACAAAAAGAAAAAAGCCGGAAGTGGCGCTGTGGCTCAAGTGGTAGAGCGCTAGCTTTGAGCTGAAGAGCTCAGGGAAAGCGCCCAGGCCCAGAGCTCAGGCCCCATGACCGGACCCAAAAAAAAAAAAAAAACACATGGTTGTTTTCATGTTTGAGATAAAATTCATGTATATGTGGGCTTTAAAAAAAAAATCCTTGCCAAGGTGATGTAGAGGGGTTACAGTTACATAAGGTAATGAGTACATTTCTTGTTGAACTTGTTACCCCCTCCATCATTTTTCTCCCACTTTCTCTTCCACCAAGTTGTACAGATCATTTCCAACATATTGTCTGGTGAGTATCACTGCTGCAGTGTGGGATTTTTAAATAGATAGTTACCTTAAAAATCATACTAGCTCAATTCAGATTGATCTCTATGTATTAGTAATCAAAACCACTTAGGTCTGACAGTATTCTCCTCTGAAGAGAGATACCTACTTGTTCAAACTTTTAATGGCATATAAAACTAAGACTCTATGTGTTTAAAAAGATTATACGTACCTTACATCCATAACAAAATATATGGCTACTTCTTTTTGAAAACTTAAAATTCCTACATGATGTTTGATAAGGCTCACATACAAATATACCTATACAAATGGGAATGTGTCTCCTATCAGGAGGCCATTCTTTTTAAAATACACAAACAAAAATGTCACTTTGATGCTACGGTCAGCATCAGTGCAAAGCAATGAATGATGTCATGTTATTTTCATATATGTTTATCGTAGTATTTTAGGTTTTCTTGCTTTGACTTGTTTCCAGTGATGGGGAGTGAACCCAACACATATGCATGCTGAACAAATGCTCTACCTCTGAGTTATAAACTTGACTGTCATTTGTTTGGAGATATCTCAAGCTGGACTCAAACTTACAATCTTCCTGAATCTGTGTCCAGAGCACTGGGATTACACGTAGTGTCATCACTCCCAGTGTAATTACTACTATCTTAACTTTGCAAGTAGGCCATCATTCTCACAGGCTTCTGTCAAGGCTGTGGGTGTGTAGCTCCCAGGGCCCAGCCCCCGTCCCTGGCTGGACGGTGGTTGGGAGGGGCTTGGCCCACCTGTGTGCGTCCTGTAGTGGTCTTTCATTGCGGAGGCCGTGAGGAAGGAGTAATGGCAGGTGGGCCAGGTACACTTAAACGGCTTTTCTCCCGTGTGGAGTTTCATGTGGTTGTTCAGGGCCCACTTCTCAGTGAAACTTCTGTCACACAAGTGGCATGTAAATTTCCTGCATAGGGACAGAGAAAACAATGTGAATTCAGTGTGCACACCCACATCCAAGGCCCCGTGAGAGCGTGTGGTCACCCTGAAGTGTGGTGCGCACCGCCTCCAAGGAGAGAACTGCAGCCCGGGTCTGTCATGTCTGTATAACCAGGCATTGATTTTTCTGTCGAGGCCTGGCACTTCGGCCATTTATTCTCTGCTTTGCGGTTGGGCCCAACGGGTTTGAAAAATTCTGTTACAGTCCAGTCACCCCTGAGGCAAAAGTGAGAATAGATTTCACCTGTACAGGCCTACACCACTTATCCAGGGCATGGGCTGTCAGAGCAGAGGCTAAATGAAATGCTATCCATACTCAAGCGCTCAGACAAGCCCTGCTGACTGCCAGGCCCGCAGGAGCAGCCCGCCTCCCAACCTGCAGCTCCCAGAAAGAAAATGAACCCCAAACGCCTCCTGATTGAGGGGTCCCCCTGGGTTACCCTGTGGAAATATAAAAACGTTTTCTTTGATAAAAATTAAAGGAGACCACAACCTAGATTTCTTTTTTTTAAACAAGCCTGAGATACAGAAATCACAATTGTTTCCTGTACGGGAACAACACAACAACAGCCAAAAATAAATAAATAAAGCATGAGAATAATGAGCCACTTCTTCATGAGAACGTATTTCAGGTTCCCAGTTCCATTCAAGATCTTTTAATTCCCTAAAAAAAGACAGGGACGGCAAATCATGAGCGCGCCTCTGAGCACTCTCTGAGAGTGTCGGGCCCTTCCCCTCACGCTGCAGAGATCATCACTAACTCTCACTTCTAATACAGCTGAGGTGTTTTTCTTTATGATATCTCTGTAATTGTGTCGAGCTAATTAATTCAAGATAGTGAACAAATAGAAGCAAATTAAGACCCAATAATTAAAATGACAATATTTTAGTAAGCTGGTAAGCATTAAGCCATGAGAGACCCACATGGCAGCTCAGGTGACTACTAAAAATTGAAATATACACTAAGCAGTTAGCACACTTTATAAAAGATTTACACAACATATTCTAAGGTATACTAGGAAGAACGTGCGCTTGTGCGGCACACGAAGCCTTTCACTGGTGGGTTTACACACATCCTTGACGTCATTATGTAGATAAAGAATCCCATGTTCTCAATAATTAACTCTCCCATTTGGGACAAATGAGATACTTCAAAAAATCAGTTTTACAAATTCCTATGAATCAAATTGCAATTTGTCTTTCATAAAAATATTTCATTTTGCGATATGTACTTAAAATGTTAGGGCTTAAATGAAATAGAAAAACTTTAGTAAATATTTAAGAAATGCCATAACATATCTTAAAGGCTTCACTAGTAGTAAACTGCTAATTTATCTCTATAATGTATATGAGGAGACATTATATTTGTACCCATTAATGTAGGCTTACTTTGATCATTTCTTACTGATACTAGAAAATGGAAAATATATAACTAAACACTTCAAAATGCACTGTAAAAAATGCATCCGTATATCTCTTTGACAGGTCTTCATGCATTTAACATTTCAAAACAGTGACAGGGATCTTATTTCCAAGATAAATTCCTCTATCTACTTATTTCTTCATGTATTTATTGTGGGTCTAACCTTCTCCTACAAGAAATAAATAAGAAGGTTAAGTAGATGCTATCTTTAACAAATAGTTTCTCAAGACTGTATTACAACTTTATGAATGACAAAATAAATCCCTCATTTTAAAAACCACCTTGTTGTACATTTAACAAAATTACATTTATGAAACCTCAACACACGTTCTCTGTTATTCATGCCTAATGAAAATGTTAAACTAGAGCTGACTGCCTGTCATAAAATGACAACAGCCCAATATCAAAGGGAAATGAGGCCACAGTGGGCTTCCAGTGTCCTCACGTTACACAATCTCCCTGTGAGAATAAATAAGTGCATCCATCGGCACTTTGAAAAGAACTGTAAATATTGCCAGTGCAAACTGTCCTTATAAAGATGACGATCTACTCATCAGCTGTTCTACTCCTGGACCAACAAATCCTGAGCACCCAGTAATCTTAAATATCAGCCTCTCTGCAGTAAGCCAGTGAGGGCGGTGTCACTTCCTGCAAGGCAGTGCCTCTCCAGGGGCCTGGAGGAAACCCACAGGCACCCAGGACTGCCCGCCAGGGCGCCCAAGCCAGCAGGGCGCAGTGAGGCTGTGTTTGGATGTGAGGAAGGCATGCCAAGGTGCTTGTCCGGCCAGGCTCTGTGCAAAGAGCAGGGACACTGGCGGGAGAAGAGTCAGCTGTGGGTCTCAGGGAAAGTAAAGGCTACTAAGAGAGGAAAAAGTCACAAAATAAACACAATGCCAGAAAGAAAAACAAAAAGAACAAAAATAAATAATAAATAAATACTGCCACATAAAAGCACAGCAATACTGGGACAAAGCAGAGTAGCAGCTTCCCAGGGGAAGAGTTTAACTTAGACCTTACTTAGACCTTAAAAGACAGGTGACAGCTGCAAATGCAGAGCCGGCGGGGAGCATGGCAGTGAGGGGCAATAGTGAAAAAGCCAGACCTGGAAAGCACAGGGGAGGCAGGTCTCCCCAGGACGACTCCCACTCAGAAGAGGGACAGAGGCCCAGACACAGGGTGAAGCCCATGACTTACAGTAGATGAGGCAGTGCTTTGCCATCACCCACGATATGCTAACTGAGGAAGTTCTTCTTGACCAAATTTATGGTATATTTTAGAGAGGTTCACTTCACACAATTTTGCTAGTCAAGGTTTACAGGTCATCCGTAGGAGGTGAAAGGTGAGTCACTGGGCATGGGGGAAGGCTACCACTGAGGAGGGGACGGGCATCTGGAACTTGACTGGTATCCAGGGACACTTTGCCAATGGGTGCATTTTCATTCCTCCCTGGCGCGCACACAAGTGCAAGCTGGTAACAACAGGCAGATCTGGTTGTGGGATTTCTGGTTCCTACACCATGTGGACTTCCTTTGTCACAAACTACATATTTCAAAGTTACAGAAAAGGGTAGCATTTATTTGTGTTTTTTTTCTAGTCTGTACAATACAGAATAACTAGGAAATATATTTATTTTAGTGGTGCTTTTCAAAGTTGAATACTGTCTAACTCTACCCAAACCAAAAGGAACTCTTATACATGAATAGATGTACAAAAATAACCATCTCCTTACTGTATGATATCCCTTCAACAATGGAATATCATAATACCATAAGAATGAAAAAACTAAAACTACAATTGTCAGCATGGGTTTGAAAATCTCAAAATTGACGAGATGCCAGTGTTTCAGATCTATTATCCTAGCTAATAAGCACAAACATGACTGATATCATTTCACACGGCTGACTTTCAAGGTGAGAGGTACAGGGAAGCAAACTGGGGTAATGTGGCAAGAACAGATGTTGCTATTTTTTTCAGAAGAGATGAAATAAATATGAGAATATTTAACATCTAATACTGTGCTTCCTTTATTTTTAAATTGTCATTTTTTAAAAGAGCATTTTAATTATCAAGTAATATTTTATAAAACCTTTACGGATACCTTGGGGAAATCTTGTCAAGTTAACAAATCGTACAACTCCCACCTACAAAAAGCTTACCAAAAAGAAAGACTTGGGTGTGCTACAGATGTAACTTTAATATAAGAATAAGTTAAATTTGTCGAGGTAATAAAAGGCTATGCAGTCATTCCATTTCAAAACCGTGACACAAAAGTGTTGACTAATCCAAAATTATTATTACAAAACTAAACTGACACTATATTTTTTAACTGGCAGGAACTGCTGCTCTTTGTGCGAAAAAAGCAGAATACAGAACTGAAAACAATGTAAGATTTCTATATTACTAGGAAAGCAGCAAAATGTTCTAATGAATGTTTCAATAATGTTTGAGCTACTCAGATGTGCATGGTCCCCTGTAAGAAAGCCTCCTTTTAATGATAATTTAATAATCATATGGTGATACAATAACCAATAGAGTAAAGGTCAGCCTCTAGGGTTGCCATGTGAAATTCTACATAGCTGCCAACAAAACTTAACAAAGTAGCAAATAAGCAGAAGAGTACATCTGGGCTCAGTCTGAACACATGGTCATCATATACCTACTGCTCAAAGGATAACAAAGCAACTCAACCATCTGGAGAAATGTGGCCACAGTTACAAACCTAGAACTTACAAATATCTCAATCTTGAGATGTTTATAATATAGTCTTTGGCCTGGCATCATGTGATGTTTAAAATCATTTAAACATAATGTATTATTCCACGTGAGAGGTCCCCTTTTGTCTGCACCCTTTGTCTTATTATGTAAGTTTATTTGGGGGAAGGTAGAGGGAAGCACAGAAATGGTAGAACAAGGGATGAACCAATTCAGCACTGATATTCACTAGATACTATACAACTTTAGGGGACAGGAAGAGGAGAAAAACTGAGAAAACAAAGGAGGGGTGACATGGTTCAAAAAGAAATGTATGGGCTGGGAAGGTGACTTAAGTGGTAGAGCGCTTGCCTTGCATGCATGAGGCCCTGGGTTCCATTCCTCAGTACTACATAAGCAAAAAGAAAAAAGCCGGAAGTGGTGCTTGGTTCAAGTGGTAGAGCGTTAGCCTTGAGCTGAAGAGCTGAGGGACAGCGCCCAGGCACAGAGTTCAGGCCCTACAAATGGACCACCCCCCAAAAAAAGAAATGTATGCATTACCTGACTTATGTAACTGAAACCCCTCTGCGCATCACCATTACAATAAAATTTCTTTTAAAAGACTAGTGTCACAATGAAAAACTTAATGCTACTCTCTAACAAGCCTATTCGTCATATTTCTACCACATTCAAAAATACTGTATTTCTGGGTGTCTGTAGCTCACGCCTGTAATCCTAGCTTTTCAGGAGGCTGAAATCTGAGGACCCTGGTTCGAAGCCAGCCTGGGAAGGAAAGTCTGTGAAACCCTTAGAATGCTAACCTTGAGCAAAAAAGATCAAGGCAGCACCCAGAC